CAGGGCTGGAAGGCTGCCATTTTTGATGTGCTGCTTGAGCTGAAATAGAACCGTCCGCTCGCTTGCTGTTCCTCAAGGTGGCTCCACCAGCACAGGATGGATCATCAGAGTGGCAAATATGATAAAGACAAGGAGCCGTAGCGGGAAACGGCGATACAGGGCGCGAAGCAATAAAAATATCATTACAGTAACCTAGTTTATCACGGGGGTTACATTCCTAAAAGAACCCGCGATAGGTGAAATCCGTGAAGTAGAAACCTTTATTTTTTTAAAGTTATTATACAATGAAATGCTCCATACAACATTGAAATCAAGGAACAAAAACTTTTTTCAGGCCCAAGCATTTGTTAAACAAATAAAAGTAGCCTACGTTATAGACGTTGTCATTGTCGGATTGGAATGGGAGAAAATGAAAAATGATTATGAAAAAAAATACAAACTACAGTAGGACAAATAATGACTGATGTGTACAGTACAGTATTTCACTGCTGTTTGACGGAGCCGCTGCATCCTGATTGCTCTGTGGCGTTTTCTTCTAAAGCCTGCGGTGCAGGTGTGTTTTTTGGAGAGAAGAACATAGTTATCGGTAGTTGTTGTCGCTCTTTTTTCTTCTGGGCCAGAGGATCCTTATAAACGTACATGCCACCATTTATTATGTTCAACAATAAAGTTTAAAAATGCATGATGCAAATCCGTGAAGCAGCGAGACCGTGAGAAGTGAACCGCGTTATAGCGAGGCTTCACTGTACATATTTCGCAAAGGTTTTTCTTTATATTTTAAAAAAAATGTAACTTAATTTGTAATTCTTAATATTTTCGGAAGTAACTGTAACTGAATTACATATTTTCTCATTGTTACTGTAACGAATTACAGTTACTAGAGAAGCTTGAGAAATACCAAACTGGGAGAGTGGCTACAGCAGATACCAGGTAAAACATCTGAGGTCTCTGTCCAGAAGAGGGTACATTCCACCCCCGATGGGTTACAAAATAGTTATGGGATCAGAGATTGCATTAATGGCTGAAGACTAAATTTGA